CGGAGGCGGCGGCGGCAGCAGCAGCAGCAGCAGCTTCGGTTGGCCCGGGCTCGCACTCTTTTCAGGGTTCGCACGCTCGAAGCTCCAAGCTCAGCTCGAACCCTTCCAACACGGACGGACACGTTCACGCAGATGGCACACAGGCCCAGCCGCATTTCATGCTGCCAACCTGCGCATCTCTTCCGATACTACTTTGCACCACATTTGCTCCGCGCCGCTCCCACCTTCCGACCACTGCCGACTCCATCCACGCTGCGCACATTTCGGAGGCTCCCGTCGGTCTTGTAGCCTCATCGCGCTGACACATCACCTTACTACGAGGTTGCAGCGCTAGTCTACGTCGGCACAACGCCGCGCCGTTGGCATCCAAGAGCACTTCATCATGGCCGCCTCCGTATCCTCTTACCGCAGGTGGGAGCCACTGCCCAAAATTCTATACGGCCTCGCAACCCATCCCTTCTCGCCGGATACCGACGTGCTCGAGTCCTCTGCCGGTCCGCTCGAGTCCCTCCCGCCTGACGTCGTGCACAAGCTCCACGAGAACCTCATCGCTCTCGAGCTCGGCGACGAAGTCTACGTCTTCGAACAGCTCGGCCATGCCGACGTCAGCTGGTACCGCGGCTATGTCGTCTCCACCAACCGCCTACCTGTCGCCGCTGCCAGCGCCAGCAGCCTCAGCGACTACAGCACCTTCCATGCGCTCGGAAGCAACCCAGCAACCCCGGTCACCGAAGAGCCCCAGGTCTACGTTGGCGTCTTTCCCTCGACCCACATTCATATCCGCGAGCAGCTCGACGATGCTGAAATGCGCCTCGCCTCGGTCTACGAACATGCCAAGGAGCTCGGCATCGTAGGCGCAACAGCTCCTTTGCCACGCCCCAGGACTCACATGGAGACGCTCCCCGAGCTCGACGAATCCACCTCCCAGCCTTCCAGTCCCAACCAATATCCTACCTCCCATCTCCCATCCATCGATGCAGCAACCCAAGAAGTCGCTGCAAACGGCCAGATTGTTGACCACCCGCCACCGCCTCTGCCGAGCCTCAAGTGCGGCGACGAGACCTTGTCCGGCGCACACGACCCTTTGATCGACGAGATTGCGTGTGCACTCCGCGAGTGGTCTGCGCTCACCTACAACTACCTCGTTCAACGCGACTATACCCTGCTCAACAGCGTCAAGGAGCACATCGAGATCCTCTACAAGGCCCGCAAGCAGCTCCTCGCAAACACCCTCTCCGCGGAGGAAGTCAGCAAGCTCAGAAGGGAATGCGTTGCCAGGCTTGTCAAGGGCAATGTCGCTCAGGGACTCGACGTGATTGTCCGCCACCCTAATCGCGGTGGGCTCGTCGACTTTGACATCAACAGCAAGGACGCTGACCCCGACAGCTGGGTCAGCGGCATCCGTCTGTTTGCGCTTCAGGCCGCGCTCGCCTACGTCGACCACGAGAGCGACAGTTCCTCCACCACCGCTCCGGGCGGCATGGATCTTTCCGCTTCCAACGCTTTCGGCATCAGCTCCCCATCCACAGGCAACATCGGAGCGCTTGCGGGACTTCCTGGTGATGTCACCCGTATGCCCGGCATCGGTGCAAGACAAGCTTCCGTCGCATCGATCAAGCGCGTGGAGGACGCCTCGGCGGCAGCCAAATACTTCCACGTCTTTATCGACCTGCGTGCCTTTGTCGCAACCCCGTGTTCGGCCGGCGAGGTCGTCGAGCTCTACTTTTCGCTCTACAACCGTGCAGAGTCGCGCTTCCTCACCGAAGACTTCTGCATCATCCTCAACCATCGCGGCGTTCCCACAAAGGACTCCACCGGCCGCATCGACAAGATGCGTGCCGTCTTCACCGAGCTCAGTGCAAGCGACATGCAGGATCTCAACGTCGTCTGCCGTATCGTCCGCAACGGTGGCATGCGCGTCTCCGAGATCAAGGCCACTCCGTCCGGTGCCGCGGGGCAAGACCTGCCGCACGATCGTGTCGACTCGTTTGCCGATCCCACGCTCGCCAACACGCCGTCATTCCGTCCCAAGCGCATGGCCGGCGATCACTCGTTCCGTAGACCCTTCGGATGCGCCGTGCTCGAGCTCGGACAACACCATCACTTCCAGACCGACGTCGCTAACTCCTCATCGATGAGGGAACACGTCATGCCGATCTTCGTGCCGGTCAACGAGGCGGCCTTCAGCACCCTCCACCAGGACATCATTGCATCCAGGACGCGAGAGTTTGAAAAGTCGCCGCGCGCCGACATGCTGGCGGTCAATGTCAAGGTCTTCTACGGCGACACCGCGTCCATCATCCGCGAAAATCCCTCGTTGCTCCAGGACACGCCTCCCGCCGCCCGCCTTGGGTTCCCCGATGTGGTCTTCCCAGGAGACACTCGCAACGAGGCCTACGTCAAGCTTTGGAGCGGCGAGTTCTATCCGTCCGGAAACAAGATGGCAGGAGGCTCGCTTAGGAACATCCAGGTGTCGGCCGAGGTGCGAACGAGAGACGGCAGAGTGGTGGAGGACGTCGTCTCTCGCGGTGCGGGAGAAGCGCTGGTGACCCAATTCGACAGTCTCGTCTTCTACCACCAGAACGCGCCGACTTGGGGCGAGCTTATCAAGCTGCAGCTGCCCCATGACATTATGGAGGACTGCCACCTCTTCTTCTCGTTCCGCCATCGCAGCTCGAAAGAGGAACGAGGAGCGCTGTCTGCGAGCAACGGCGTTTCAGCGTCGCAACAAGCGACATCGACACCGTCTTCTTCGTCTGTCTCCATGTCGAAGCCTTTCGCGCACGGCTACTTGCCCTTGTTCGAATCCAACCGAGCCTTCATCCCAGACGGAAGCCACACCCTCTTCCTCTGGCGCACCAACAGGCCACCCGCTCAGATTGGCCCGGATCTCTACTTCAACTTGCCTCCCGTCACTCCAGCCGGCCGTAATCCCGGCGACGTGGTGCCACCAAGCCTGCAGGGAACCGTGCAGCCTCTGCGAGACATCCTCACGCTGCGCACGTTCCTCGTCTCGACAAAGTATTCTCAGAACGACGTGCTGCTCAAGCTGCTCAACTGGGAACGCTTGCTATCCGAGGACTTCGAGGAGCTGCGCAGTGTATTGAACAAGTTCACATTCGTCGGCGAGGTCGAGATCGTCAAGTTCCTGCGCGACATCTTTGACTCGCTCTTCGGCATTGCAACGAGCAGCCGCAACACGCACGGCGATCTCGACGATCTTGTCTTCAATGGACTCGTCACCGTGCTCGGCATCGTCCAGGATCGCAGGTTCAACAACTTTAGGGCTACGCTCGATGTCTACATCGAGCAGCACTTCAAGTTCACGACGGCCCACAACAAGTTGATCGCCTCCATGGCCAAGCTCATGGCGGAACCATCGAGGCCGGAGACGTCCAAGGATCTCAGGGCGGCCATCAAGGTGTGGCCGTATCTGTTCAAGTTTATCATTCAGAGCCGCGAGAACCAACGTGGAGATCGGGATGTGGGCGGCGGTGCGGTACTCGACCATCTGGAGGCCGGCTTCAAGCGAGAGCTCGAGGGACTGCTGCGCAGTATCAATCAGCTCATGAGCGCGACTACGCCGTCGTCCATCATCGGAACGCAAACGCTGGCGCTGCAGCACTTTGCTGGAATCTTGCCGGATCTCGCGCGTGTCTTCACCGCCGACGAGCTGGTGCGTACGGCCACTGCTTTTGCCGACAGCATCTTCATCACCAAGGGAAAGATGGCCATCTGGAAGCTGCTGCACATTTTGCAGCTGACGCAGGGGCCCTTGTTCGATGAGCAGGCGTCGCGCTCGCAAATGATTCCCAGCATCGTCCGATGGATTGGTCCCCATCTCGGAGCATATGACGAGGCGGCCCATGCACCGTCAAAGGCGCTCGAGAACGCGCGCGACGCCGCTCGTGTATCGTGGATCGAGGCGGCGCGCCTGGCTATCACCATCCTGGCAGTGATCCTCGATCGTTTGCAGGTGAGTCTTGCCGCCGGCCCGAGCCCGGCATCCAATGGCGCTCCTCGAGCTCGAGGACGACAGGAACAGGACGACGTCGACTATCTTCTCAGCATGATGCCCAAGCTGCTAGACACCTACCGCGAGCTGTCAAGCCGGGCCACCATTCGCGCACTTGAGCGCCACCGCGCCCCTTCCACCACTCCATCGCCGGTGCCCGTGATCTTCCCGTCCAGCTATCCCTTCCCGCTCGTCGCCAAACGCCCTCAAGGCCATGCTTCGGTCGTGGACGGGCCGTCTTCGCGCCGAAATCGCCGCCGCGACCGCACCGAGTTCCTCAACTGCGGCCTGGTCGAGATCGCCGCGGTGCTAATGGTGCTCATCGTTCTGAGCCCCAGGAAGCATCTGCTGAGCTTCTTGGACGAGGAGCGCGACATCGGCGGCGAAGAGCGAACGGCCAAGCTGCTGCTGGACTTCTTTGAAGTTGCCACGTCGATCTTGTCGTACGAGGCTTTCCCGAGCACGTGGCTCAACCTCAACATCTTCAGCCACCAGATGGTGATGAAGATGGCCGATCCGCTCGCCTCGGTGATGGTGCGTCACTACATCCCGTCAGCGGAGCAGAGCGAGACTTTCAACACAGCGCTCTGGCGATCGTGCCTCACCATGCTCCTCACGCTGCTGTCGAGCGATCAGCTGGTGATCGAGCAATTCAAGCCACAGAGGCGCAGAGCAGTGTGGAGGCTTGCAGGCGACATCCGCGGCGAAGGCGCCCAGATCTTTGCCAAATTGTGGACTTCGATTGGATGGCCCGAGGCTGCGGCTGACGATGCGGACGGCGAGCAGATCGACCGTACGGACGAGAGGATGAACACAGGCGGCTTCCAGGTGCAATTCGTGCCCTCGCTTGTCGAGCCGGTGCTCGAGCTGTGTCTATCGCACCACGACGAACTGAGGACATGCGCTGTGCGCGTGCTCGCGACGATGATCACATCCGAGTGGCATCTCAACGGTGATTTCAGTGTGATCGAGGCCGAGATCATCGACAAGCTCGACGTGCTTTTCATGACGCACACCAAGGGCGACGAGATCTCGCGCGCGTTCTTTGTCGGACAACTGCGTGCGCTGTTCGACAATCCCAACGTGGATCCGGGGCTGCGCGATCAGGTGGAAGCCTGCCTCGTTTCGGTCAACCGCTTCCTCGATCTGCTGCTCAGCGTGCGCAGCTTGCCGCTAGAGGAAGGATACGAAGACGACCGTATCGCAGGCACGCTCAAGCTCCTCGGCTTCCTGAGGCAGGCGGATCGCGTGTCGGCGTTCTCGACGCATGTCCTCCGCCTTGTCAATCTCCATCTCGAAAACCAGAACTACGTCGAGGCGGCGCTCACTCTCAAGCTGCACGCCGACTTGCATTCTTGGGACATGGACAACTTCGTCGAGCCCTTCGGCGAGTTGGATCTGCCGCGCCAGTCTCACTTTGCGCGAAAGGAGACGCTGTACATGCTGATCCTGGACTACCTGGGCAAGGGTCAGGCATGGGAGATCTCGGTGGACATCTGTCGCGAACTCGCGCAGCAGTACGAGTTCCGCTCGGTCAACTACGTCCGGCTTGGCGAGGTGCTACACCACCAAGCTAAACTGTACCAGAGAATCGCCACCGAGGAGCGCGCGTTCCCATCGTACTTCCGCGTGGCGTATTACGGGCAGGAGTGGCCGCCTTCGCTGCAAGACAAGATGTTCGTGTACCGCGGCCAGGACTGGGAGAAGTTTGGCGCTTTCTGCGACCGGCTGCATGCAAAGCATCCACAGGCAACGCTGATCAAAAGCGCCGCTGTGCCGGACGAGGAGGTGCGCCTCGCCGAAGGCCGTTTCCTCCAAGTCACTGCGGTCCAGCCAGAGCCCGACCGCACCAAGGAGATCTTCACCAACCCGGAGGTGCCGCCCAACGTACGCACGTACCACGAAAAGTGCGGCACGGACCTATTCTCGTTCGAGCGACCGCTGGGCAAGGCGGATGCTGGCCAGGCAGAGCAGTGGGTGGAAAAGACGTATCTGCGCTGCGAAGATGCGTTCCCCACCGTGCTGCGCCGCAGCGAGATCGCCGAGGTGTACGTGGTGGAGATCAGCCCCCTCGAAAAGGCGCTCGAAGACGTCACGGCCAAGACGAGCGAGCTCGAGACACTGGAGAAGAAGTACCTTAGCATCCGCAAGGTGTCCACGGGCAAGATCAACACGAACCGTCTCTCGATGGCGCTCAATGGGGCGGTGGATGCGCCGACCGAGGGCGGCATTCCGCTGTACAAGAGCACCTTCTTTGCGCCCGAGTACGCCGCGGCGCATGCGGACCAGCAGGCTGCGATCGACGAGCTGCGACAGGCGATCGATGCGCAGGTGACGGTGCTGTTCAGGTGCATCAGGCTGCATGCACAGCTGTGCCCGCCCGAGATGAAGTCGTTCCACGAGACGCTCGAGCGCTTCTTTGTGCAAAACTTTGGCGAAGAGATCGCACAGCTCGATTTGGATATCCGCAAACTGGGCGAGGCGCCGGCCAATTCATTCGACAGGCAAGTTGGGACAGGGGACGAGGACGGCGAGGAGAACGAGAGACGTCCGACTGAGCGCACGCTCAGCCGCGGGTTCACGCTTGGCATGGGCGCGATGGACCGAGCCGGAGCGGCCAACGGCTTCGCAGCTGCGCCCGATGGCAGGCAGGATCTGCAGCCCAATGCGCAGTACGGCAAACGCGGCGCTGCGGCACAGTCGCCGTTGCAACGTCACATTGCGTTCCTCACGCGCCAGGCCGAAGCTCCTGCGAACGTAGACCCGGCTCCTGCCGCCGTCGTTGCGCAGAGGAAGCTGACGGCCGACTCTTCGTATGTCGCCGCCGCGGCGGGCGGGTATGGAGAGACGAGTGCGGCGTCGAACAAAGTGCTCCCGCCAATTTCAGAGGACATGCTGGGCGGAGTGGCCAACATGCCTTCTGCGCCACTGCCGACGAACTTTTCGAAGCACAGCCTGTCGCGCGCCGACTCGAGCTATTCGATCCCGGACACAGCGAGCAAGCAGGCCACGCCGCAGAAGCAGGGCCCCGGCCACAGGCTGAGCAAATTCATGGGCGGCGTGGGCCGCAGAAAGGCGTTCAATGCCTAGATAGCCAAAAGATGAAATCGCAGGGTCAGCGTCACGAGCACGATGTTGGGAGTGGAGACTGATTGATCGGTGGGAAAGAATGTGCCAGTGCACTGATTGTGGGGAAGCCAAAGGGGAGAGCCCGTCGCCAGTGTGCGGGCGGTGAGCTGCGAACGCGGGACCGCATTCTGTAAGCAAGTGGGTCAAGCCTGGTCGCAAGCTCGGATGGCAATCTAGAACCCGATCAAGTCCATGAGATTCTTTCGGTAGATCAGCAGATTTGTGGCCCGTCAGCGACTGGTGCCTCGGCTGTGGTTTGGCGTGGGGCTGTGGAAGAATGTCTGCGGAGCGGGGGAGATGAGTTGGCTCCAGCGCGCGCGTCCTTTCCGCAAAGACAGACCAAGTCCATCACGCGAGTAGCGCCGATTCGGCTGTAGTCCCATCGCGGGGTGAGAAAGACTAGCCTCATTCGCTCGTGCTTAAGTCCTGACGCTTGACGCGGGAGATAAAGCATTCCCACGTCATCAAGCCCCATGACCGCCTCAATCACATTATGTATCAGATACGGACCCCGGACATATGAGATTCGCGATCTGGTCGCGCGTTCTTCTCCGACGCATTCCGTTCTCACGCTCGGCCAAATGGAGTTCGGTCACGAGCGGGTGCGAGAGCAGAATGGTCACGTCGGAATGGAACGCTGCTCGCCGGTGGGAAGGGGGCCCATGCATCTATCTGCACGGCATCGAGCGGAATCTACAGCGCCATGCAGCCACAAGCCCGCTCAAGAAGGGCACTATCCACGGCCATTTCCGAAACCAAAAGCCAAGAACCCTGGGGACCTCGTTGCGAACCTGAGATGTTGAAATGTCAAGAATCTGACCTTTCCTCTCAGAGGGCCGTAACTTTACGCGCCCGCGTACTGGTAACGCGTGCACGCGTCCAAGGGTTCCAGGATACGCTCTTTTCGAGACACGTCGCCAAAGCGCTACATCAGCGTGTCTTAGGATTGCCTTTTGGCTTTAAGACTCACGCAAGAAGAAAAAAAAAAGAACGGAAAAAGGAGGAATGTGTCGCGGGTCAACCCCTCGTGAGAGTTACAACTTCTTGGAAAGCAACCCAATCTCTATCGCCGCACGGATCCGACTCGACTTTAAGGCCTTCTTCGGTGCATTGATTTGGTGCAGTGTAGATCCTTCCCGTGCGTAGGCGGGGGCGAAGGTGAGGTCTGCTGCTCGCTGCAAGGTTTGCCAGGGCGGCGTCGTTTGTTATGCAGGCACTGACAGCAGGCTGCTGCGCGCTGCTGCGTGCTGCTGCGTGCTGCAGCGATAGCTCTGCATAATCACGACAGCTTGCGTGCGCGGTGCAGGTGTGATTTCAGAGAAGCAAAGACGAGAGATACGCCCCTCGAGCTCGGTAGAACGACGTCGAGAGTGGAGAAGCCTTTCATGCACGCCACGGGCCCGTCCATCCGGTCGCTCGGGCCGACTGACGCCATTGCCAAGTGGCATGTTGGTCCAGGTTGGGTCTAGCTGACCGACGTGGACGAGCGACGGGCGACGTGCCACACGCTAGTGCGGAAGCGGAAGGGCGGGTGGCAAGCCGGCGCGTGCCTGCCGAGCTTTGCCCTTTGGGCCTGCCCGCATTCCAATTTCTTCTGCAGCTCATTTCAACGCCGACAGGCGCTTGCTGGGATCGCGAACAATTCCATGTCCGGTCCTCGGCCCGTCTCGAGCGAGGCTCCTTGGCGGCGTTGGCCGCTGCATCCGTGGTTGCTGTCCGCCGTCCCAGACGACGGTCGGCGAGGGCAGGGTGCAGGGTGCAGGGTGAACGGTGCAGGAGAGTGCATGGTGGCAGGCGACCATGTCTTACGCACCGTGGCATCGACGCAGATGCAGATGGCGCTTTGGGCGAGCGCTTCCCCTTCTCGCATCTGGCCTTTGCTTCTCGCGCTCATTAGCGAGGCGAAGGTCGGCTGTCATGGCAGGACGCAATTTGAACCATTTCCGCGGTCCATGCTCCGTCGTGTGAACGTGGCGACTACACAATGGGCCCCGTTGAGGTGACCACTTTCAGCACAAAGCGCATCCTAAGCTCGATGGCGAGGCGCTTGTCGTTGTCGAGCCGACGTCAGCCGACGCGTTCCGCTTTGACGGTTCCTCTTTCGCACCCTATCTCTCCTCGACCGCATTGGCCACAGGAGCCCCTTGCGGCGAAGCCCCGACCTGGCTTCTTCGGCCATCTGCAATTAATCCGCGAGCTGAAATTTGCACGGCGCCGGTCTACAATTTCGCGATTCTGGCTGGGCCGAGCATCGAGTCGAGGCGCCGGGCTCGCGATTCGGCTGGTCCGAAGATCAAGGAGGATGAAGTCCGGGAGCGTGACCGTATGTGGCGCGCCTGGGGCCAAGGGGCGGGCAAGCTCCGCCGAATCGGCGTCAAAGACACGCAAGTGGCTCGACGGCTTTTCATGCGAGCTGCGTCCAGGCAGGGTGACCAGACGCGTGCAGCGGTGCAGCAGCAGCCGCCCAGCTCGGCTGATCGCTGCAACCCACCAGCCACGCTAAGGGTCGCCACTCCTCCCAAGGCCGAAAAGCCCTGAGCCTCCCCTGTCAACCACCGAAGGCGGCACCAACTCCAGCCAGGGCACTTGCTGCAGCGGCTCACTTGCTCGTGGCTCTCCTCGCCTAGTCGTCTGGCCGCCCCTCCCCCTGCCGCTCCCTTGGCTTCGACCTCTGGAAGCCCCCGCACTCCCGCCATACCCTCCTCTCCTATCTGTCCCTGTCTACGGCAGAACCGACAATCGCAGCCGGCTCCACGCCTGGCTTGTCTCCGGACTCCATCACTCCCGGCTGATGACTCGCTGAGGTCCGAGGGAGTTCCCGTCACGTATTGCTCTCTGCTTCTCCTTCCCCACAGGGCCTTTTCCCGACACTCACCGACTTCAGCATCAATCACGACCCGACAGACTCCAGCAGAAACAAACAGCTCGTATTCATGTTCACGGGGAAAGACTCAGCCTGACTTTCGCATACACAAGCAGAAACGCTTGAGGTCATCCTCGACCCAAGCGTGCGCCAAGTCAACGCAGCATGCCCCGACCCAAAACTTCCGCAAGCCATAGCGGATCGCGTGACGGTAGTGGAGAGGAGAGCGACGCGACGCTCGACCCGCACTGCTCGTCGTCCGCACCCAGCCGGCGCACCCGCAAACGTCCCGCACACATGGCTCGCCAAGGGTCCGTCGAACCGACTTCCTCGCCCGCCTCCCGCTCGTATGCTGGTTCGCAGAATGCTTCGAACGTCGCCGACCTCTCCGACGTTGGGGAGGGCAACAGTCAAGCTCGCTCCCGCTATACCGACCGCAGAAGCAGTGGCCAACCACACCGAACGGTCACGTCTGCCTTTGCATCTCCCGACCAGGCGCGCGAACGTCTCGTGCTCATGCAGTCCAGCTCCCCTCGTGTCGGCAATGCGCAGTCTGCACACGACCCTACCTACCCTGCTCGTAGCAACAGAAATACGCCAGACGCTCGATCGCGACTAGACACGGCTCACGGAGCGGAAACACCTCACGCTTCGTCATCGAGACGCACCGAAACATCGATCACCTCGATGTCGCAAACCCGCATGAACGGACCTGCGTCCAACCGCATGCAGGTTGCTGAGGCATCTGCCAGATTAGAACCAGCGACAGCTGGCCTCTCGCTCCACTTGCCACCTTACGAGGCAGGCAGCTACGCAGAGGTGGAACCCGCTCGGAGTGGTCCTCTACATCCTCTGTCTTCCTCGGCTCAGCTCTCGGCCCCTTCGATGGCAAGGACCGCCAGCAACATGTCGCCGCCACGGCCTACGCGGTCCCTTCCGCGACGTCGAGCATCGGCCCGCACTCAATCTAGGCCGCTGCTTTCGAGCTCCAACAGCGCGTCGTCATCCTATGCATTGCGATCGCGGTCGTCCTCGAGCTCCAACGTGCTAGCATCCAGCAGCTCCGCAGCCAACATCATGGCCTCCGGTCAAAATCGTCTCAACCTTGCCACGGGCTGTGCTCCCCTCGGCGGTGGATTCGACCCCTCGAACACTCCGTCCTCGGGCATGTCGACTCCGCGCACGCCCTTGGCCGAGATCCCGCTTTGGCTGGCAGACATGCGGAGCCAGAGCCGCAGGAGCAGCACGAGTTCCACCAGCTTCATCGACCGGGACGACTACCTTACCGCTTCGAGGTCGGCAGCTTCGCATCACGCCAGGACGCTGTCCGCCTCGTCTTCAGGTCCGTCCAGTCCGGGTGCCACGCGAACCGGTTCAATCTCTCCGGTGGTCCCCTTCCGCCGCTCGCTGCGGGGTCGAAGGCCGCGTCAGAGCGACGAGAACGCACGCCTCAGCCCCTCGCCGTCCTACTTTGGCGAGTTCGAGACTGGTTCGGCTGCCTCGACTCGGGGCGAGATGACGGCGCTCGACGAGACGCCTGACGCGGACGCCAGTCCCTCTTCCAGCATGATCCATCTCGGTACTACGTCTCCCTCGACGCCGTCCGTGCAGCTGCAAGCATCGAGTCCGGCCATGTCGACACGAAGTCGCACGCTGAACCGCCTCTCCTCGATCCGGGCTCGCAGGCTCACAGATCCACTCAACGCCCCGGTCACCGCAAGCGCACCTCCAGCATCCGACAGGCAGGATGCTCGATACGCTCAGAGAATCGCTCTGAGCTCCAGCTATGGCCAGCTGCGCAGTGCTGTGGCTGACGAGCAGAGGTCGGCGAGTCTTCTTGAACGTCGATTTGCGGCGGCTAATGTGTCTGCGAGCCCTTCCGGACCGACTGGGCGTGTCTCGAGTCGACCCACCTCACGCACGTCGTCGCCGGCGCGTGGGACCCGGTCTTCCAGACGGCGCAGCACCGCAGCCGAGGGCCAGGTGGGCTCAGCAACCGATGCCAACCAGCTCGGACCCATCCCAGCTGGTCTTCCACCCCTTCGGATACATGCTGCGCGATTTCATCGCGACGCCGCACTCGACGTCCCCTACGCCGTTGCCCTTCCGGGCTTACATGACGCTGCACGCTCGTCGAGGCTCTCGGGGCTTGAGGAGGCCCCCGCGGCCGGTCTGGAAGGTCCGGCGATGCAGTTGGAGCCGATCTCGCCCTCGGCGTTCTCTGAGATGACGAGCTTGACGCAGGGGTCGACGGCTTCGGAGAGCGTGAACAGCGTCGGGGGATTGCCTACCACGCCGTCGTCGTCAGCATCGCTGCTCGATCCCTTTTCGCGCTCGCTCGGCCACGATGCTGGCTTCGGGGAAGCGACGGCTTCCTCCAGCCGTGCGAGAGGGGAAGCCTCGGTCCGCACCGACGAGACTGCCGATGCGGGCGCCAACAGCGCTGCTGCCTCGCTGCGCTCAGACCGCGTGCTGAGACAGCAGCGCAAGAATCCGATGGCTGCGCGCAGCGGCGAAGAGGATGCGCTTGGTCTCAGACTTGACCCGCGTCCTTGAGCTTTGCTGAGCCGACCATCTGCCGTGCCATCTTTTCCCTCGTTCCAACCGAGAGTTGGCCGTGTCTCGCGGCCTCGCCTGCTCACAGTGCTTTTTCCTACCGTTGTCGTCGTTGCATTCGTCTTTGTCCTCGTTCCGCGCCCTTTCGGCCAGCATTCAGCATTTTGTCATTCTCTTGGCCGTAATGACTGCGTGGCCCGTTTGAGTGTGCGATGGTCTCGAAGTGAGCGAGACAGCGATGGGCAGAGCGCCGTTCTGGTGTGTAAAGCAAAAATAGAAATAAAAGACGGCAAAAAGAATCTCCCAACGTGGGGCTCGA